CTTGAGTGGTCGCATATGTTGATCTAGATATTGATTTCTTTTCCTATTTAAAGTGGTTTATATATATTCTTAGACTCGTTAAGTTACCATTATTAAACAGTAAATGTGGCTTCTATTTTTTTGGTTCTTGTCCACGAATATTCATGACTATAATTGACTATGAAACTCTAAATATAAAACAGAGAGGATAAATATACATATTTTATTCAAATTATATTCGAAGAAAACAAACTTGATCACTGGCTTGTAACACCAGTTAACATGTGTCACATCGATTGTCAATGATATGTTAGTGACATGTTATATTTTCTCTTGTGGTGTTGTAGTTTGCCAAATAGCAATTAAGTCTGGTGACTCTAACTCCGTTAATTGATGTTTTATGTGTCTCAAGCAATTGTCCTCCCCGCCTTTGTTGAAGTTTTATCCGATAGGTTCCAACATTGGTTTACCGATATCTGGTTCTCGTATGCTTAACATGATTACACTATAAAGGTAGATAGATTTGTTATTTGAACCTTCAGCTGCTATGCATAGATATATGAATTTTTGTTGGTGTTGTTCTTATGAAAATACTCTTGTATTACATACATCGTTCCATAAGGTTATTGTATTTGTGAAGTGATCAGGGCTAACTCATAAGCATTTGGACCCTTAGGCAAAAAAAATTATATAGCCTTTTGGAAAATTATTTGAAAACTAAAATTTAAAGTAACTATTTAAGCTATTTTATAAGTTTGTATGAAAATTTTGAAGATAGATTTAGTTTTTAAAATATATATAACTAAATTTAGTTTAAATACAATACTAACTATTTTTGTTTACTAAAAATTTTAAACAAATTGTGTAAAAGAATTTTTGGATCCTTTGGTCCTGCCGTAATATCTAAAACGCCACTGGAAATGATGCTAGTGGATTCACTGTAAGTGGCTGTAGTTTAATGTTTTTGTATACATGAAGATCTGTTAAGGCCTATGCAAAAACCAATTTTATCTCCATGGTAACCGGTTCACTCTTCTCGAAACCAATGCCACTCATGACATGATCTCTACTTGAATTTGCCTAGTCACTCTTTAAAGCTTCTAGAGTATTGGTGGTGACCCATGGTGCTATATGCAGTATTGGCTTATGTTTGCTATTGTGGTTTGATGAGTAACTCTATTTGAAGGTGGGATGTGAGTCGTACATGCTCAATAAATTTATGGAATTTCGGACAAAAATGTTTTTTTTTTAAATCTCAAAATTTAAAATCATTTAAATTTTAGAAAGAAAATATATTTAAATATATATATATATATATAAAATTGTGATGAAAACAAAAAAAATATTTAAATATATACAATATGCGATCTAAAATCTAATATATTTTTGTAACTTTTATTATTTTGTATAATTTTATTTTTTGTAACTGAACTCTAACTTTGAAGAAATGCGGGGAACATCAAACTGGATTCACGACAGTGGCACCGTGGATCACTGAACCAATGGTTAATTTGTGTCGTGCTGTGAAAACATTCGTTCCTGATTGAAAAAAGTCGTATAATTTATTTCCATATGTATCTTATTACCATTTAAGTTGACTAAGTTCATTATTATGTGGTGTGATATATTAATTAAGTGGACATTTTACCAAATATTAGGATGACTAACATTGTTTGGGCATTTTTTTTTTTGAACGGCAAAAACGTTAGTAGTATTATTAAACGGATTCTTGTTGTGTCGAGTTCATATGCTTTAGAGTATTTCAGATATACATTTTTTAACTACTTAATATATATCTTTATATTTCTTCTTAAAATAAATAAATTATATTATACATTTATGTTCCAATGTATATTTATACAATAAAATACCTAGATTTTTTAAGAAAAATATAGAAAAACTACTTTTTATGTAAAGATTTATGGATGACAATAACATTTTATGGTATTTTCAAAAAAAGTTTTTAAAAAAAATCATTCGGAATTTTGATAAGCTTGTTAGTATAAAGTTAATTTCAACATATATGTGATATCTAATTATTTTAATGAATTTTAGTATTTGTGTTTAGTTCTTTTATGATCATTTAGATATTCTTAGTTCATAAGTGTTTAAAATATACACGTGTGGAGTGTTCTTTTGGTTAGGGGAGACTGAATTCCAGAATAAACAAAAGAGAAAGAACCAAACTGCAAATACATAGGTGTAACTTAAGTTGTTTATCAGATCGAATAAATACAGAAGAGAAGGAATTTATATTAAAACACACTTGATTATAACATAGATTATACAAAACATAACTCTGAGAAGAGACCAAATGAAGCTTTTCTGTGTTTTCGTTTTTTTGTTCACTCGTGTAACCTTGTTTACAGGCTTTTGTCAGCTAATGTGATGAGTCTGGAGAAGATGCTGCTGGCGCAGGAAGCCTTCTACCTGCTCTTGCAGAAGCTGCATTTCTCATTGGTCTTGAAAAGAACATGTTTCTCCAACTCTTTTTTTGTCTAACCGATCTTTTTGACCGCAACTTAAATAACAAAATGAGCAAAACATCTTTCATGCCTCCTTTGTTGCAGTGACGTTGAGGAAATGGTGAGCTATGCACCGTTCTTTGTAAACTCAAACGATAGACCGTAACTCTCATTATGTTGTTATAACTACTCAGGAAGCTAACGCAAAAACAATCCACTTATCTATATGGAACTCCTAGCTGTTGGAACCAATGACTCTTTGCGAAGTCTAGCGAAACATCTCTCCTAATCGCAGAACCCAAAGGGAAACTCTTATGCTCTTTTCGCAGCTGCAATCTCTTGGAAAAATATATCAAGATTACATACGCAGAAAGGTACAGCAAGAAAAATAAGATAAGTTAAGCCTTCATCACAACTTTGAGTGAAGCTTGCGAGATAGGGATGCAGAGGATCTGACCATTGTTCGCATGTAACCAAGATACGCAGTCTTCTCAGTGAAGCTAACGGCGCTGGTGGAGTCTGCCACCACCTTTCTATAGAAAATAATGACATATCAATAAAAGAAGCTTGCACAAACAGAGCTCGATTACCAGAGTCATAATATCATCACCCAAGACGAATAGATATTCTTTAAAAAAATTAACAATGATAAGAAACATATCTACTAATCTTTCTAGGCTAGTCGCCTGATGAAGGCTATATCGCAGCTTGAGATTCTTTGCAATTGGAACTCTATTCTCAAACCTTCGCAAGTTAATCAGATTGAGAAGATGATTCTGAGAGGAGGATGTTTACCTTTTTGTAGTCACAGGTACACCGCCTCACATAAGAGAAGCTCACATTAAATGATAAATCGTGGCGGATGGAGCTAATAAAGGCTTTAAGGCGATGTATCTGATACCAGGAGCGTTTCAGCTGATGAGGAAGAAGATCGATCGATGTCAGAGAAATCTCTACGAACAGATTCATCACATCAACGGCGCTGACTCAATCTCTCGAGCATCCGAGTGCAAAATTGTGGCGAATAGAATCAGAATCGACTAGTAAAGATTTTTAAAAGAGATTGAGCTCTGGTTATGTCGAATGGCGGAGATGAAAGCATAAGGAAACCCTAACATGAAAACTACGCTTCAAGCCGCGTTCGTTTATTGCTGGGCTGGTGAATCTCCCACACTTAAGGCCCAATTAAACACAAAACCTACGTAAATAAATGAAACGCTGCGGATCACGTTCCATTGCCACGTGGCGCGTTTAAAAAGACCTATTTTCTGACGTGGCTTAATGAAAAAGAGGGAAACAATACTTTATATAAATAGATATTGGAGTACTTACTTTTTCTTTTTAAATAACTGATGATGATTTGAAAATAAAATTATTATGGAAAACTTACAAATAATGTTAGCAATTTAGGTTACACGTGTAAATTTTGGAATTATATTTTGCCAACGTGGCAACAGTTTTGATCGTACACTCAGCCCTAGCCATCTAGCGATTGTTTTTCACAAGGCTTAAATTAGAAAACATACTAATTCAGTAGAAATTGGATTGGAAGAAACAAAAGAATAGATTTTAAGTATTTCAAACGATTTAATGAGAATTTTAATTCATTTATCTAATTTTAAGGTTAAGATTTTATCTCCAATAATCAATGGCTGTGGCTGTGTAGGAACGTTTTCATTGTTACAGTTATCAAGTTCCTTGAAAAATTCTGTGTAAGAGTGGTTTGCATATTCCTCAAGGCATCCAACTATAAGGTCAGATTATGTTAGCCGAGAAAGTATGCGTTGAAGAAAACGCAATGGTGATCACGTGCCCCGTACCAATTGGGTGTAGCGACTTTCATGAATGTCATTAATAAGTGCATTCTCTCGTTCTTTGCTTCTTCAAAGAGTGCTTTGATCCAACCAGTCCCAATCCAGTATCACTAGGCGCCTAAAGCTCATAAGAAAATATTATTGTATGTAAAATAGTAAAGGCTGGTAATCGAAATGTTCAAACGGCCTCAGTGATTTGCAGTGAACTAACATTCCTCCAAACATCCCTGGAACCGCATCATCGCTCTGCATCTGTACCGACTCTGCATTAAATCGTTTGATAAAATTACACTAAAAAAACGTGAGATAACTGTGCATAACACCTTAGAAATAATCTTCTAAGGCGAGTTACATATACTAAACAGTCTGAACTCGGGCATCACTGTTGGCTTGTCCCGTTTAGGGATAAATAATATATTTATCTAGTTTGTGTTTCAAAAAAAAAAAAAATCTAGTTTAACTTTCAATGAAAGCTTTCGATCACAAAAAAAATCTTTAACCAATCTGATATTATCTTCGTATTACATACCAATCTAAGTAGAAGCTGGACATAGACCAGTTAACACCTCTACAGATGAAAGCTTACGGAGACAAAATGGACGTAGAGAAAGATGCCAAGACTAGCCAGCCAGACTTGACGAAGCAAAGAAGTTTATTATTTTATTCTTTTGGTGTGATTAATTGTTATACTCTTCAATTTATTTATTTCATGGTCTTTTATTAACGCAAGTAAGGTGGAAAAGACACTATCAACATATGATTGTTAATCTAAACGAACAAAATATAGAAGCATTTCCAGAAGATATGGGCAACATGCAGCTCTGAGCAAAACACCAAGAGACAAGTACCGTAGACAAAAGTTGTAAAGAGTAGCTTATTACAACACATTTGATTATAGTTTTACCAAAGCATACAAAATCAGAAACCAATCAGCCAATTTTACAGACGTACGTTTTTTTTTTATTTGTGGAGGTGTGCAACATTTCTTCAGCTCATACTTGCTCTCCTTTGCTTAGCACCTCCGGTTCGGTTCACCTAGACCAGACGAAACAAACATTATCACCATCAATTAAAATAGAATCAAAAACATTACAACAACAATGTCATAGATTTTAATCTCAAGAAGACCACTGTAGCTTGCTATTGTCTTACTCCATGAGTAATAAAAACTAACTAAGTCGAAACTGAGAGAGCTTTCAGTTAACATTTTTGAGATTCCTCAAACTACAACTAAAAGCCTCAACGTGATTAAGAAATCACTGGAGTTATGTAGTTTCTTTAAAAAGAACAAGAAACTTATTACAGTTATCAAAAAATTAATGTTCATGTGGACAGCAGGGTTGATTCTGAATGAGATGAAACAGAGGCTCAATTAAATATAAGGGTTAAATTTCAAAACGAAAAATTAGATATTAAATCAGTTTATATTCCTCGGTTCAATTCGGATTCACTTACAGAAAAAAGGTGAAACCATATCTTTGTTAGAATCGATCTATATAATAAACGAAATTGTTTCAACGACTCTTTTGACTTTTCCAAAGAATTGATTCAATTCGGTTTCCATAAACACAAAACTAACTACATAAAAGAGTTGATCAATTGATTTAATTTTCGCTAAGATTTCCAGAAATTCAAAAGCGTTAATAATTAATTGATGGTTCGGCAACATCAAACAGAGAATTATAAAAGAAAAAAAAAACAAAAAGAACCTACTAATTGTAGTAGAGCTCGAGACCCATGCCGTCGTGGATCTCGTAGTCCTTGAGAGTGATATGATCCTTGTAGATGTTATACCACTTCTGAATCCGTATCTTCTCCGCCCTCGTCCCCGTCTGCGCCGCCACAAGCTTCTTCAAATCACCGATCGTGTCATCTTCGTTGCACTTGACCCTCACTTTCTTCCCCAGACGATCGTTGAGCACCACCTCTATCATCTTTTCTGCCTCTTTCTTTTGGATGGAATCACAAACCCTAATAATAGCCTCTCGATATCCTTTCTTCGGGATATCTACGCAGAAGACTTTTATTTATACAAAAAGCATATTTGTCTGACCAGAATAATATATAGAAAAGTAGTTTTTGTTTGGTCGGTCAATATTTAATATTAAAAGGCCTATATGGGAAGGTTTCAATTTCAACAATTGGGCCTATAGGCCCAGTCTCGAATAAAGATTTAACCGCTAACACTTCGTCTTACTTAAGAGGATAACCTCACCGCCCAAACCTCATACTTTATCTCATCACAAAATTTGCTATGGAAACTCATATTAGTCGATGCTGATATAAGCAATTATCTCACAAAATTACACGGTTAAGAGTAAATGAATAAATATAAAATATCGTATCATATTTTTATGTTTCACTTTAGGTTTATTCTGAAATGAAAGAGTAGAAATTTTACTCTTAAACCATCAAAAATATTTCTCTTTTCATTTGTTTGGTAGAAAAGTAGAGTAAAATGTTTTATTCTCATAGCTTTACTCTATTAGTATTTTTATAAATGTGGCCAGCTTAACTCTATTTTATATAATAACTGTTATAATAATATATTGTGAATAAAAGATTAATTGAGTTTTCTCTCTATATTTCTTCTTCATCTGTAAAAGATTTTGCATGGTGGGTTCAGTTCACATTGAGTATCTAACACACTGGTTCTACGATAGTTTCTGAAGTTCAATTATTATTTTTTTTAATCTAAAGTTGCATTCGTTGTAAATAGTTTTTTTAGTCGAATTAGTCTAGTCTAACACATTCAAAACATTAAAAAAAAAAATTGTAGCATGCAATTTAAAACGTCCAAGAGAGCTGATTCTGAAGTATAGCTCTATACTCTAGTAGAGGTGATCTTCAAATACAGGTGAAAGAAGAAAAGGCTTATACTTCGTCAAATTCTTTAAGAGCAATTAAAATTTCAGAAAACAAACTCTTTTTGATAGATCCCAGCTTTAGGACAATCAATCAATGCTGATCAAAACAAGAATGTGGTTCTAAAAACAACAAGTTACTGCAGTTCTCTCTTATTTCATCTCCATAAGAATTAAGACAATAGTCTCTTACCAAGTACTCTAGTTATGAGAACCCACGATGCCATATCTCTGATCAAGTACTCTCTAGTTATGATCTTATCACTTTTCTTATTCAACAAGTGATAACTAAATTTAATGATATCCTATTGGAGCTGGAGCTTCCTTAAGTTCACGACCTTGGTAGTGAATATCCTGCAAAATAAACAAAATGTATCATCACTCTCACACTATTTTTTTCTCTCCTTTCAATAACACACAAGAGAAAATAAAAAACACACTTACGGATGCATAATGGTTAACATCCCGGTGATGCGCTTCATCAGCACGAACCACCATGACAACATCACGAAGCGTTGCATGAGCAGGGAGTCTCCAGTAATCAATAGCTATGGCTGGTGCAGGAACGTTTTCGATGTTACCATTATCAAGTTCCTTGAGAAATTCAGTGTAAGAGTGTATCGCTTCTTCCTCAAGGTATCCAACCATACGGTGAGCAAACTTGGGTGAGATTATGTATCCAAGAAAATATGCGTTGAAGAAAACGCCTTGAACGGCGATCACGAGGGCACGTTCGTACCAATTGGGTTTAGCGATTTCCATGAATGTCATCAAGTGCATTCTCTCGTTCTCTGCTTCTTCAAGAAGTGCTTTGATCCAACCGCCGCTTTGTTCAAACCGCCTTAGGGATTTGCAGTGTACTAACATTCCTCCAACCATTCCTGGAACCGCTGCTACCGTTTCCAACATCATCGCTCGGCATCCGTACCGCCTCTGCATTGAATTGTTGATAAAATTAGTCTTAACAAACGTACAAAAGCAAACGTACAAAAGCTCCAAATCGTAAACACACAGAATATTGTTAGAAATGTGTTGAGTTTTCTCCACTTCCAACTCAAAACTAAGTGATAATTAGTAAAGAGTGTTAAAATGTCACATAATCAGTTAATCTTTTTACATAATCCCAATAAGATAGTTTCGTTTTGTAAAATTGGATAGAAAACTAAAACAAATTAGCGTTACTAACGCTAAAAACCTTAAAAAATGTGGTTGATAAGGAAATGATACCTGGAAGAACAAATCGGTAGGCCAACGGAGAGATTTAACCGTCCAATAAGCTAACTTGTCCGGTAAAGTCGATGGGACATGATGCTTCTTCAAATCTATAGTCAGATCTGCTTTATACGTCTCCCATGGCTTACCCATTATTCCACACACACGAAAAGCGAATCATACACACAACACAAGTGTACATATAAACAAAAAAAAAAACATTATTGTGTTTGTAATAAATACCCGAAAGCAGCTCCATTTCCATTCAGTTCCATCATCTTTGGTGATCTTCATAGGCTTCACTCCCCAATAGCTAACGATTAATTCCTCTCCTTTGTTCCCTTGATCACCCTTCGAACCTTTCTCCGATTTGTTATCCTCCGTTTTCTTCTTCTCAAATGTCATTTTGCTAAACTCTCTCAGGCCTCCGCTGGTCGGAACCCTAGACTTCAGAAGATGGTTGGGAGACACGGCACTGGAAGAGAAAAGCCTTTGTCCAGCAGTTGCCATCACCTTGGCTCCATACCGACTCATCATCATTGTGCAGATCAACGATGAAAAAGTAATATTTTTTATTAATCAAAAATGTTTTGATTCTTTGGCATTTTATAACTCACTAAATGCTATTTATTTATACCATTTACGGATATAAATAACGATAAAATCGCCTAAGATTTGAATAAAATACTTGTCTAACACGAAAAGAAAACAATTACAGAAAAATACGCAACAGACTTTTCAAGTATTTATTTCTTGGTTGATTAACTCGTAGCACACGGCTTCTCAAGTATTTAGTTTCTGGTTTAAGAAGCAAAAAATATATCAAACCGAAGAGAGACAAACTTAGAAGAAATAGTATGTTTTGATTACATAACTACAGATTTTATATATATAGCCCGACTCCTTGTATCCCTTAGTAAACTACTCTACCGGATAAACCGAATCCCTCCTAGGACAACCACTTATTGCCGGGTCGGGTCAAAACATACCCAACACTTAACATTCTCAGTAAGACCTTTTACCATCGTTTGAGCCAAAGCCACCAAAGCCGCTCCTTCCACCTGACTGAGAAGAACGATCCGAACCAAAGCCCCCAAAACCAGAAGAACGGTCTGAACCACCAGAATAGCGGTTGCTAGATCCGCCTGAACGGCCACCATAATCATCTGAACGACCACCAAAGCCGCCTCTTCCGCTTGACTGAGAAGAACGATCTGAACCAAAGCCCCCGAAACCAGAGGAACGGTCTGAACCGAAGCTCCCGAATCCAGAACGCTCCGAACGGCCACTGCTGCTACCATAACCACCACCACCTGAACGGCCACCAAAGCTAGAACCGCGATCTCTCATGCCTCCTCCTCCAAAGGACTCACCAGATCGACCACCTATACCTTCAAACATGCTTCCACCACGTTCAACAGCAATGCTAGGGAGCTGAATACAAAAGATACAAACAGTTAATTAACCCAAGCATTCAACATAAGAAACAAAGCATGCAAAGATTGACAGATCATATAACCTCAGTGAATCGGCTCCCAACTTCTCTCTCAATTATTTTCACAGCCCTGGATTGATCTTGACTGTAGATGAGAATGGCACTTCCTTTCTTCCCAGCACGGCCTGTTCGTCCCGTTCTGTGGACAAACGTCTCCGTGTTATTCGGAAGCTCATAATGAATTACCTAATCACAATCACAAGATAAATTTTAGTAAGGTGAGTGAACATAACTCTCGGTTAGGCATATAATAGTGTAGTCTTTTAACTAACCAAATCGACATTAGGAACATCAAGTCCACGAGCAGCAACATCAGTGGCAACAAGAATATTGAAATGGCCATCACGGAAACCAGCAAGTGTTCTTTCCCTCTGACTCTGAGATATATCACCGTGTAAGGCTTCACACTTGAAGGTTCTTGCCAAGCCATATGAAAGGCGATCAGCATCCCGTTTGGTTTGCGTAAAAACAATGCATTTTCCTCCTTTAGCATGCTCCTGCAAAAGAAAACGATCTTACAAAACTATTGCTATACGTACTGAAAAGATACAAAAATTATCACAGATCTGTTTAAAGAAGATGTAAAGAACTAAGAAGGCATACCGTTACAAGAGGACCGATGATGGATGCTCTACCATAAAGATCAGCTATGATAGAATACGTAGTAATACCATCTGCAAGCTTCTGATCAGAATCTCCAACCTATACAACACAACATCACAGTTAGGTAAAAGATACCGCACGTCATTAACATCCCTTACAAACCCCAAAGATCAATCATTAAAGGCTCTGAGCAATTTCAGGTATGAAACAAAAGCACAAACCAGAGACTACTCACCAGATCAATTGTCAAAGGATCATTCAGATACTTCTTGGTAAGGGACCTGATCCAACTCGGCATCGTTGCAGAAAACATCATGCTCTGACGTTTCTCAGGTAACCTTTCCAATATAATCTCAACATCCTCAGCAAATCCGACTTGAAGCATCTGATCAGCTTCATCGAGAACCACAAACTGAACCTCGGAAAGATTCAAAGCTCCTCGCTTAATAAGATCAATGATACGACCAGGAGTACCGACTGCGACATCAACACCATAGTCAAGCTGCCTCATCTGCTGTCCAATGGGTGTACCTCCATAAACACAAATAGTATCCAAGCTCGGAGCAGACTCCCTAAACTCCTTCTCAACTTGGCGAGCAAGCTCCCTCGTCGGTGCCAAAACCAAACAAAGAGGATTCCTCCCACGTCTGTCATCATCACATCAAAAAAAGGTAAACATACAGTGAAACCTCAAATGATCGTCAGAGACTAATAAGTAAAACACAAACCCATGTTTAGCGTTGAATTTGATGATTTTGTCAATGATGGGAATCCCAAAAGCAAGAGTCTTTCCAGTTCCTGTCCTAGCACGACCAATCATGTCACGGCCTTGCATCGCTGGCTCAAGCACAGCTTTCTATTTCAACCAACCAAACAAACATAAACTCAATTCTCTCATTTACTATCCCACAAGAGCATAAAGGTTTAGACTTAAAAAAAAAAAACTCTTTACCTGAATAGGGAAGAGTTTCTCAATACCCTTAGCACTCAAAGCTTTTACAATCTCAGGAGATATCCCAAGCTCAGCTATCGCAAGCCCATCACTCTCTGAATCTGTAACCGCTCTGTCGCTAGTCTCGGATATCGCGAATCCGGCGGGAGAAACCATCGTCGATCTGAAATCCGACGGCCCAGATTGGAAATGAAATCCCCTCGAGAAATGATTCCGCATCGGAGGGAGAGAGAAGCTAGGCTTGACAGTTGGAGCTAGATCGGAGACTTTGGCGGCGGCGTGATGAAATAGAGCCGCGTTAATGGAGGGCAGCGATGCGGCGGAGAGTGTCCGCCTTGACGCATCGAGGCAAGATCGGCGGAGAACTGTGGTGATCATTTCGGATTTAGAGATAGTGTGAACGACAAAACCCTAGAATCGAGAATTGGGGATTTAAGAGAGAGAGAGAGAGGCGAAGGGTTTAGATATGTGCGGGTTCAAGGGTTTAATGTTGGTTTCCCGGGTCGGGTCGATTAATATCCCGCGCATACAGGCCCAATATGCAAAGGAACGGGCCTTATTAGGTCTTCGGAATAAAGTTTAGGGATGAGAACAATAATTTTGTATAGGTTGAGGCTTTAATATTTTTAACTAGATCCTGATGATGTATCAGTTTTTTTTTAACTAGATTATATATATATATATAAATATTTTTATCACATTACTTAGGATTTGAATGAGATGCAGATAAAAATGCAGTTTTTTTGCAGATCACTAGTTTTGCAGATTGTCCTGTATTTGAACTCCATTCACCTTTTTAAATGCAGAACAAAAAAAAAATACAGTTAAATCTGCATGCAGATTCATTTAATGAAGAAAATTATTGATCTGCATATAACGAGGAAAATGGGCTGGACAACTTACAGGAGACCAATCATGTATTTTTTATTTATTTTTTCCTTAATTCTTAACATAAACCCGACATTAATTATTTGAACCGACCCGTCTTAAAAAGCTTGGTTCATAAACCCATCTTTAACATTTTGAGCCAAACCATATACATATTTTAATTTAATAAATAATTATTAATGCTACCACTATGACTGAACAAAATGATATGGAAAAAGTTGAAATGGGACAAGGAAATTTTATGGCAAACTTTATAGAAATTATTTCAAATTTATTATGGGCAAACCAAAATTATTGATATTATTTTTTTAATTTCATTGTATGTTATAGTTGTATTTTTAAGAACATTTAATATTCTTGGTATGTATTAAGTAATAATAATTTTTGTTATATACAAGAATTTGTAAATTTATTTTAGATATTTAATTTAATAAAAAAAATTAAATTTCTATAAAAAATAATTATTTCGATAAATTAATTTAACTAGTTTGATTTGCATTTGTTCTGCATAATCTGCATGATCTGCATTTATTTTGCTTGATCTGCATTTCTGTTTGATCTGCATTTTTTGATCTGCGTTACCCATTCGAAACCTTGACCCATATTGCGATTTGGTGTATGCAAGAGGCAGAAATGGTTGTGAACTTTAAAGAAGAAGCCACCAAATTCTTAAAAACTAAACAATCATGTTGTGGGACACTTTTGATGGCATCATCCCTAATGGTCTCACTGTAGAAGATATTTTGATGATTAATGGAATTGGCTCTTGAAAAATGGGTATTTATGATAGCTTAAAATTCAGGGTTTTGTTATTGATCTGGTCAACTATCATGGTTTTCCTATCTTTTGGAAAGCGAAGTGAATTGTTTAGATGTTTTTTTATTATTTTAATTTCGCTTTGTTTTTATTATCAATTGATCTCTGTGTTTACACTATTATTATACGACATATATGGATAGAGATGCTAAACTTTGAAGGATTTGCTGGCCTTACTTGCTTGTGTGAACTTAGTGTAAAAGTAAATAGTAACTAATTTGTATGAACAACAATTCACGTGAATAGTAAACTGAGTAAGAAAATTATTTAATAAGTCAAATTTGTTTCTTTTCCCTACGTATATTCTCTTGTATCCACAATTAAAAAGATTAAGAAAATTCAAGTTTTTCTTTCTATTCTCTCTACAGTCTATTCATATTCTCTTTAGTGTTTTCATCTTATTCAAGTTAATATCAAATTCTTGCATTTAGATGTGTATACATTCTTTAATTTATTGCTAGTCATGGGGGACATATCTGGACACGTGCAATTTAAAAGGGCTATTCGCTTACTGGATTCCAGAAGCAGATTCAATATTTTTCTAGCACAACCTCCTCATCATCAGGAGAGCTTCTTGATTAAGAATGACTTTGCTTTTTTTCTTTCAGTTGGAGAACAACTTATCAACTTGTTCGACATAGGGAAAACTTTTGATGAGAAAGAACCACCTTCGAATTAATTGTGCAATGACTTCAATCATAATCTCTGTGAATTAATTGTGCAATGAATTCAATCATTACTTCTATAATTTTGATCATCAGTCAATTTCATAGCAAGACCAGTAAAAGCAAAGACATACATACCATGTCAACATAAGGCTCTTTTTCACATACTTCATCCTAAGTAGCTTGGCACATAAACAAGTGTCATCCAAAAATAGTAAATGGTCATAAGTTGAATTCTCGTTAAAATATTTTTGCTCTCGTAGAGAGAGTTAATGTAACTGGTGTGCACCTCATCTTAGATATGTGAAAATCTAGAACTTCTAAACATTTTAAAGGGAGTTCTTAATACTAGTGAGGCAGAAGTTCTTAAGTCCACATGTTGATTAATTAGCTGATAGAGATCGACTGAGTTAGAGCATTTCTTAAGTCCAGAAGTTCTTATGTCCACATGTGGATTTATCGTGATCATCATGGATGATTGACAAAATGTTCTTTTCTCATACTAATATTGTTATAATCATACAATTTGTTCACTTCGGTCTTTCAAAAGTCATTGATTATTTTGGATCCTTGATATGAAGATATAATAAAAATAGACTATAAAATATAAATATGTAAAAGTCACTTACATTAACACATAAGATTTCGCATGTTTTATGCTTTAAAGATGTCTCATTATGTCATGTGCGTAACTCTTTCAGAAAATAAAATGATTATTTGGTTAAAAGAATTGAAACGTGAACTTATAGTATCTTGTAGTCGAACCATAATAAGAATCTAATACCTTTCCATGTGTAATTTGGATGACTCCATAGAACATGGTGCAATAAACACTTTAGCAATTTTTAATTATTTAGTCTTTAGGTTTTCTGTCCGCGAGACTTATATGATTATATAGATGTAACCATGGGTGATTTCAATCATTCCATACTTCTATGATATCATATGACTTATATGATTATATAGATGTAATTAACCATGTTCATTAGTATTAAGAACTCTCTAATGTCTATATGATTATATAGACATTAGGGTTAGAAATTTTGATTTTGCCAAGTCTCTTTAAGACATGAGACATGTCATAAGACATGTCATATTTTAAAGATGCAATGTCATCTTTTCTTTGTGAAAGTCTTTGTGTAGATGACATGTAAGCAAATTTTTTTTAAAAAAAATCACTTGGTAAATAATAACTGGTGGATTTCAGTTCCATTTTAAAATAGAGTTCATAATAATATTATTATTTCAGTCCCTAATATATTTTTGGGAAAATTTAGAAATACATTCATATAAGATCACAATAAAATACACCATTGTTTAAGTTTTTGGAAAAAAATACACTAATGTATATAAAAATTTACTAAATTATCCAATTTTAATACTTTTCAAATTCTATTTTGTTTTATATTTTTAAGAAACGGTTTTACAAAAACATTGTTTAAAAATTCTAAATTATCTACACAATCTCTTTATAATATATCTTAAACATTTTAATATTTAAAAAATAAAAAAGCTCCTGACACACTTTTGTCTCCTTTTCTATTTCTGATTTTTTTTCTTTTCTCTAGTTTCAGATTGTTCATCTTATCTCATAAATAGTTTTGTAGATATAAGAGTCAAATCACCAGCTCATACAAATTTATAGGGTCTTCATATCATGTAAGAAAAAAAGAACATACACGATCTATGATAATCAGTGTTTTTTAGTGTTGTTAGAACACATATATTCAAAATCAAACAAATTAAGCACATATGTTTAGAACTTTCTCGGTAGATAATGAATCCTATGAAGAATGAATATTTTGTGAAGAATGCAAAGTAACATGTTTTGTTTAAGAAACATAAAATAAGATCTATATAAACTTCACGATAAAGTAAAAACAAATCATAATTTGTTAATTATAATATTTTTGTTTTTCTAAAATTTTAAATGGTAAAATAACATATTTATCTCAACGCATAAATTTATCTTAAACATAAATAATTATATCTTATCTATTGAAACTTCTAATCTGGGCAAAAAAGATATTTCACATTTAAGAAAGTGTATTTTTCAAAAAAATAAAATAGAAGATGTAATTTTCAAATGGAGTAATTTACAAATTATTTTTTTACTACGTACTAATAAAGAAAAAAAATGAATCATATAACCAAAGTAATAATTAAATTCCATATTGTAATTTTTTTTTCAGTAAAAAAAAAGAACTTGCATATTTTTAACTATAAAGATTCTTGACTCCAAAGGCCCCCTAAATAATGATAACCATGAGGGCCTGCTCAACATTTATTTGCGCCTCTGGGCAAAATTTTTTTTTTAATTTTTAATATTTATATTTATTAAAAATTTAAAATATATTCAAAATTTTTTATCAACATCTTTATAAAATTTGTGATGAAAATAAATAATGTATATGTAAAATATTTTAGGGCCCCTATGCAACTAAAATTTATAAATATTTAAAAATTTCTATATAAAAATATGTATGTATACAAAAATATCGGACCCCTTAATTAGTAAGATCGGAGGACATGGGTTTGGTCCCGGGGCGGTCGCACTGTTTGCCCCCCCCATGTAAGCCGGCACTGATCACCACCGTACTTGGCCGATCTTTCCTGAATGCGTCAAGGCGGACACTCTCCGCCGCATTGGTGACCTCCATAAACTCAGCGCTATTTCACCACGCCGCTAGAGTCTCCGATTTAGCTCCAACTGTCTCCTCCTCCAGTGTCAAGCCTAGCCGGAATCATTTCGGTGTTTACCTTTCTTGATGTGGTGACAGACGTGGCAAGAATCCTCTTTGCTTGGTTTCGTCACCGACAAGGGAGCTTGCTCGCCAAGCTGAGAAGAAGTTTAGGGAGTTTGCTCCACGTTTGGATACTATTTGTGTTTATGAAGGTACTCCCATTGGTCAGAAGATGAGGATGATTATGTCGCCGTTGGTACTGGTCGTATCATTGCTCTCAAGAAGCGAGGAGCTCTGAATCTGTCTGAGGTTCATTGGCAAGAACCTTTAAATGTGAAGCTTTACACGGTGATATATCTCAGAGTCAAAGGGAAAGAACACTTGCTGGTTTACGTGATGGACATTTCAATATTCTTGTTGCCACTGATGTTGCTGCCCGTGGTCTTGATGTTCCTAATGTCGATTTGGTGAGTCTAAACTACACAAGTACTTTATTCTGAAAGAGAGTTATGTTCACTCATCTTACTAACACTTATCTTGTGGTTGTGATTAGGTGATTCATTATGAGCTTCCGAATAACACGAAGACATTTGTCCACAGAACGGGGAGAACAGGCCGTGCTGGGAAGAAAGGAAGTGCTATTCTCATCTATAGTCAAGATCAATCCAGGGAAGTTAAAATAATTGAGAGAGAAGTTGGGAGCCGTTTCACTGAGGTTATATAATTTGTGATTCTTTGCATGCTTTGTTTCTTATGTTGAATGCTTGAGCTAATTAATTGTTTGTATCTTTTGTATTCAGCTCCCTAGCATTGCTGTGGAACGTGGTGGAAGCATGTTTGAAGGAATATGTAGTCGATCTGGTGAGTTCTTTGGAGGAGGCATGAGAGATTGTGGTTCAAGATTTGGTGGACGTTCAGGTGGTGGTTACGGTAGCAACAATGGCCATTTAGGCAACCGTTATTCTGGTGGTTTGGACCATTCTGGTTTTGGGAGATTTGGTTCAGACCGTTCCTCTGGTTTCGGGGGCTTTGGTTTAAATCGTATTTCTCAGTTAAGTGGAAAGAGTAGCTTTGGTGGCTTTGGCCCCAACGATGGTAAAAGGTCTTTCTGAGAAAGTTTTAAGTGTTGTGTATGTTTTGACCCGACCTTATAGACCATTTTTCAAAACAAATCAAAAGATCATTAGAGTTTGACCCAAAAGCACGCTGTGTTTTTTATAACTGATATTACAATTACGAGAAATATTAGATGAAGCGACAATACTATCTACCTTATGATGATTTACACCTAACTGCATCACCTGAACCATACTATGAAGATTCATGCTTAGCCGAGTTTATTTGCACAGTGCTGAAGATCCGTTGTAAGCTTTTCATTCGAATTCTCCATAATTTTTTAATAAATTGCTTTTGCCGGGACTGAAATCTGGACCTCCTAGTGTAAAAACATTAATGAACCCTCAGTCAAACCGCTGGACTAAGGGAACAAAAATTTTATTCAAGAATTAATTAGTCATGTTCAATATTCAAAAACATTTTGTAACTATTTTGGTTTATTAAGTTATTGGGTTCCAAAAATAGTGGAATATCTTATTAAAATTAATTAAAAATTATGAATTAGTTATGATTCGCAAAATATTCATAGTTTTCAAAGAACATTTTTTATATGGTTGATAATGGATTGATAAAACATGGATTGTATCATATGTATTCGAAAATGAGTTTTGATTTTGCATCAACAAGAAATGAAAAAAAAAACTCATTTAAAATATATGTAGGATCTTCAAAGTCTTGATTTGCTACTTGATAATAAGAGTCGTACGTTCTTATAGTCTGTAGAGTTAATTGTTGCATCGCTTTGGTGTACAATTAGAATGGTGAAATGACGATTTTAAACTGAAAATGAATAATGATCTGTAGAGTTTAGGTGGCTAATAGGTTTGTGTAGAGTTATCTGGGAAGTCCTTATGGGGTCAATGGGTCAGATTTTATTTGCTTAAATGAAAAAGTTTCTGGTCGGTGACTCAAAAATGCAAGTGGGTTCTTGGATTTGGCGAATAATGTTGAAGTTGAGAGAAGTGGGTTGGGGGTAGAATGTCAACTATTGACAGAGTTGCTAAATGGAGTCAGTGGATAACTTGTATTCTCTGTAAGAAGGGTCTTGAATCGAGAAATCACCTCTATTTTGAGTGCGACTATACTGCAGAGGTTTGGGAGTATATTGCTAAAGGCATATTGCGTGATGCCTACACTAACAATTGGTCTGAGATTATGGAGTTGATTATGGATGAACTAGAGAGAAGAAGAGTCTTTTCTGTCTCAGATATGCATTTCAAACAGTTTATATGCAGTTTGGAGGGAGCGAAACAAGGTTGAGCATGCTGAAAAGCTTTTACCAATGCCTGTTTTGAAGAAGATAATTGAAAAGGGTATTTGCAACAGGATTAGTCTGATGAGATTAAAAGGGATTAAACTAGAATGTAAATAGTCTTAATGTTTTCTAACCAAAAAGTATACACTTGTTGTACTAAGGCCTTTTTGATGAATAAAACTTAACATTCAAAAACATTAAGAAAAAAAGAATAGGTTTGTGTATTTTTCGAAATGGTGTAAGTTGTTTGATAGTCTTTTGTTTTTGTAACAACTATTTTATTTAAATAAAGCATAAAATTACAACAAAAGTGTAAATTAGAATACAACATAATGCAAAGTTATAAATTAAAAAAATTACAGCACAAATATTAAAATCTGAAGAACCTTTCTTCTGAACCATCGTGCTTGATTACAGAATATCAATTATGTTTCTCATATTACAACTTAGATTTGGTTAGCATCTTTGCGATGAAACCTCAAACTTTTTTTTTGCAGTTTCTTTTGTTGTATAATATTGGTCAAATTCTAATAAAAATATGTTGTGTATTTTTGTTTTAACGGATTAGACTTAATGAGATATTGGATCTTAATAAGAAAAAGGGGAAAATTGACAAAATATGCAATATTTAAATAAAGTAGTCTATGTATATGTTTTCATTAATTTGTCAACTACGTGGTTATCCGCAAATTCGCGGATAAGAATAATTTAAAATTTTCATATAATATGATATATATTATGCTTTAATACGTTCTAATATATCTTTATTTTGTAATTGAAAATGTGAATTTTATTTTTATATGTATATTCTATATGAATAATTTATATTTTACTATATTAATTATTTTATAACAGTTAAAAATATAAAAGATGATTTTGTAGTATTTATTAGAATATTTTATCAGTAACTGTCGTAATGTTTTTTAATGTATGCTCCAAATGTCATTTCTGAATAACTATCGTATGCAATTTAATTCCTGAATTTCATTAATATTATATTACGTTTATACATCAGATAATATTTTCTGAAATAATATATACACGATAGCACAAATAATATTTTTTAAAGATGATATCTACATAATAATAATTGCTAAAATCACAAAATAATTACATCGGTCAATAGCACTTAAATTAATTAATCATGTGATTTATTTAACATCAAACATATAAAACTTTGATATAAATAACCAAACAGTTATGTCTATTAGAAATATTATAAACATTATGAAAAAACAAACAATAAAATAATTTCGATAAATGAAGATAGTTATGCATACCAAATATATAGTTTATATGGTTTATAAGTTACATAAAAATGATATTCATATTTTGTGTACTATTTTCACAGGTTTGTTGATAAAATAGTAAGTTCAATTTATTTTTTGATATCCAAAATTAGTTTAACATTTATTTAAAATTTAATAATATATACATATATTTGTATTTCATTTTCTATACAATACGCAACTAATGAAACTACTAATTATTTATTGTATTTAATTTTTAAATCTATATAACATACAATAATATTTTTTTTTATAAAATAGCTCATTTAAAACGTGAAATAATTTACGACCTTTTATATTAAATACTGAATTTATATTTGTTAATGGAAAATCTTATACATGTTTGTTATTTAAAATTATTATTTTACTTTAAATTATATTATATATTTTTGTATATTATTATTTATATACTAAATAAGTAATGAAATTACTAACCACTAATAGTATTTTTCTTATCATTTAAAAAGAAATGCAAAGAAAATATTATAATTATCTCTTTTAGTAATACCTTTCTTTTATTAAATGTAGAATATAATTTATAACAAAAATCCGATCATTTATGTTTACTTACATACACTATTAGGATAACTATTATTGGTTTGTATGATTTATTTGGTTATTAATGTAAGTTCGTTCTTGATTTATTTATTTTTAACTGAATGAAATCATTAAATAAAATAAAAAATTATTAACCAATCAAATTAAAATAATTAATTGGAGGACTCTTCTATGAGTACACATTAACAAAATTTATTTAAGTGACTTTTCAATTAATACATAAGAGGATATTAGACATACTTACCCATATATTAATAAATACAATTATAAACAAGTACATAACTTAGAAAATAAAAAAGTATAAATCAAGTGTATTTCTACATGTTATACTATAAAAAAAATAAACTGAAAAAGAACTGAAATTCTGATATTGATTTTCTAGAATATGTATTATAATAATTTTTTACAACGATATAATATATATTCTAACTTTTTCTATTTTTGATCAGATATATATTCTAACTTCTCTACTACATTTTAAACATGTTATTACATATATTGTAAAATTTCTCTATAATTTATCAAATATAAAATACGTCTTTTTCTGTTATAACTGTAACTTAATGAGAGTTTGGATCTTAATAAGAAAAAATAAAAAAAAATTGACAAAATAGGCCATATATTCTAACTTATTTTCTATGCTTTTAACATGTTATTATACATATTTAAAAAGATCTCTATAATATATCAAATATAAAAGAATTATTTTCTGTTATAATTTTAACTTTTTTTTATTTACAACACACAATATATATTGTAGGATTTGGATTGTGTTTTAGAAGACCCTAAAAATATTAACTTATGTCTATCTTTTTCTCAGTTCTTTTTCTTAAACAAAAATGCTAGTTTCTATGTGTATGATATATTCTTACCAGGTTATAGTAACCGCATGTCATTGTTCTACGTACCTATTTAGAATATGTATTCTATATTTTGATTATTCTATATTATAATCTTAGAAAACTTATGAAAACAATCTTAACTGATTTTGATAATAATGATTTAAATTAATATAAAAAAATAGTTGAGGTTTTGTGAAAATGTTGATGTTATGTATGATATATTTAATATTTATATTTGACTATATATACAAGTTAAAGTTATAGTTAAGGCGTTTTTTATGTATTTATACGTAAACAAATTTTTATGTCTTTTGAAGGTTTGATGGTTAATAATTTTTATATAATATAAGAAAGTTTTTATAGTTGTATATTTTACTTCTATTAATTTTTTTCATTATTGTCTTGCACTTTCAATCACCCAAGTTGATGAATAACATCGACTATTCAATAGGTATTTTAAAATTAAATATATAGGGTTGGTCTCAGGGGTGGAAGCAATATTGTTTTTGGCATGGGGCACATAACCAGTTCTCGTAACTAATGTCGAATTTAAATGAGTATTTAGATAAGTTTAGTGCTAACTATAATGGGAAAAAAACAATTTAGGGTGGGGCACATGGTAGGGATGGGCGTTCGGGTATCCGTTCGGGTTCGGGTCGGGTATTTCGGGTTTTCGGGTATTTCGGTATTGGGGTTTAGAACCCGTTCGGGTATTTTTACATATCGGACCGGGTTCGGATATTTTTAGTTCGGATTCGGTTATTTCGGGTCGGGTTCGGATATTTAGATTTTGAAAGAAAAATTTTAAATTCTTAATTACTTAAGTTTCATGTATTTAAAATTTAACTATTAACTTAACTGTTTTTAAATGTTTAATAAGTTTGACGATTAATAAGTTTGAAAATAAATTATTGAAAATAAAAATCATTATTATGGTTATTACTTTCGAATTTTGGATGCAAATTTTGTTTAAAGTATGAAATAAGAAGCTTAACATGCATTTTAAATGAGTAACAAATCAATTTTTTTTACAATTATATGTATATTATCTG